ATGGCTGTTTTTGTAGAGCGTTGATAATCGTAACGCTCAGTGGCCAAATAATCCGATTTCAAATCCAAGTTAAACCAAAGCCGGCTATTCGAAATCCCTCTGTTTGTTCATGTTTGTTTCGTCTTTCTTGACTTCTCTGAATCTGCATCCAGCAGTCGCGCGTACGTCAAACAGGATGTTCGCTGGAGAGGGGGCTTTGAGAATTTATAACTTTTTCAGCCTGAAATAACAGTGTTCCTATTTCTAGGTAATGTATATTAGCTCAACTGTCAGCACATTATCTAGTGCAGGCTAGGTAGACTATGATAAGAGCCAGCTGACGGAGGCGCGAGTCAGGCACGACCGACTGTTTCATGTCAGTTGGTATTCATCAGGCGTATTCGTTCTAATTTCACCTCGTGGCGTCATATATAACTATCTGTGTGTTGTGTGTACTTTTTAAAAAATCGTCCTGACCTTCCTGTGCGAGGGCTTGGTGCCTTCAGCCCAAATTAAAATCCGTACAAAGTCATTATTGCCTATATAAATGCTTTCCTGTGCCGTATAATAACGCAACAATAGTGCTGCGCAGACGGCAAACCTGAAGGCAGCTAGGATCGGGTCTGAGTTAGAAGAAGAATCTGGTTTCCGGTTTACGATTGCGTTCTCGGTATAGGAGTAGACAAGTCAAAACTCCGTTAAGAAGAAGGCGAACGTTCTGGAAAATTCGAATGACAGGGACGCTATAGTTTTCGAATTTGGCAGCGGTATCTCAGTTTAGAGCCCACGAGGAGGTTAACTTCACGTTTAGCCGTAATCAATGCATTCTGAGCTACCTCGATGGCAATTCCACAAATAATTAATGCAACATAATAAGAACTACCGAAAGGAAATAAATAGCAACGCTATCAGTCTGAATCCGCACCCGTTCTTAAAGACACGATTACTTTTCTGTACCGTATGCTAGCGCGTGCATGGGAGTCCACAGGCACCAAACCAGGAGTCAGTCAGAATTCGATCTGATTTCAAGGGTTAGACCTTAAATGAATCGGATTTCTGGGGATCCTTTTAACTTCCGTATGGAAGTCCACAGGCACATGCGTATAGCCAGTTAAAATCCGGTCTGATTAAAAGGCTGTAACATTTAAAGGCTCTAATTTATGGTGATCTTTTTAACTCCCTTTGTCCCTATCAAGTGCTCATAGTTGTCGGCGCAGGAGCGGGCATTTTCGGTGCATATTGTCTCTACGAGACATACTGTACATAGTTTGGCGTTGACTTCTGAGCTTTTGTTTTTGACTCCATTCTAATTTCCGATTTCTCTGTCTTCTCCCTCTTCCACGTCATTAGGTGGTCACCATTGAACCCGGCTACTACCTTCCCGGCAAGTATGGAATTCGGCTGGAGAATGTGAATGTGATCGTTGAAGCACCAGCGTCTGCGGCCGCCACTGTCCCCGCTACGACCTACTTGGCCTTTGAACCAATAACCTTGGTGCCATTCCAGCGCAAACTTATTGCAGTTGAACGGCTGACGTCAGCAGAAATCGAATGGCTAGATGCCTATCACGGTCTGGTCAGGAGAGAGCTGATAGCTCGCATTGCTCAGGATGCCGGTGGTGATGGTCATTTAAGTCCGGCTCGTCAGAGAACACGTGACTGGCTTCTGCGGCAGACAGAACCAATCAGGGCATCCGCGTGAATACACACT